AAGGAAGAGTAGAAGAACTTCAACAAAGAGATAGAAAAAATAAAGATGCAGATAGAAAACATAAAGAAGACCCAGTCAGAAATGAAGACTACAATAACTGAAATCGAATACATTACAGGGAATCAACAGTAGAGTAGATGAATCACATAATCAAATCAGTGATTTGCAAGATAAGGAAGCAGAAAACACTCAATCAGAACAACAAAAAGAAAAAAATAATCCAAAAAGTGAGGATATTTAAGGAGCCTCTGAGACAACTTCAAGTATACCAATATTTGCATCCTGGGGGTGCCAGAAGAAGAAGAGAGAGAAGAAGGAATTAAAAACCTACTTGAAAAAAAAATGGTGGAAAAATTCCCTAACCTGATGAAGAAAATCAACTTCAAGTCCAGGAAACACAAAGAGTTGCAAATGAGATGAACCCAAAGAGGCCCACACTAAGACACATCATAATTAAAATACAAAAGGTTAAAGACAAAGAGAAAATCTTAAAAGCAGCAAGAGAAAGATAGGTAGTTACCTACAAGGGAGCTCCCCATAAGACTATTAGCTGATTTCTCAACAGAAACATTTCAGGCCAGAAGGGATTGCCAAAAAATATTCAAAAATATTCAAAGTGGTGAAAAACAAAGACCTACATCCAAGATTACTCTATCCCAAAAAAAAAAGCTATTATTTAGAATCAAAAGACCAATAAAAAGCTTCCCAGGTAAGAAAAAGTTAAAAGATTTCATCACCGCCAAACCAGTATTTTAAGAAATGTTAAAGGGATTTATTTAAGAAGAAAAATATATAAAAATATGTGAATAATAAAATGCTAATACATATCTATCAACAATTACTTTAAATGCAAATGATTAAATGCTCCAATCAAAAGACATATGGTGGCTGAATAGATAACAAAAAAAGATCCTTACATATGCTGTGTACAAGAGACAGACTGAAAAAAGGGATAGTAAAATATATTTCAGAAAAAAGGAAACCGGAAAAAAAAGTTGGGGTAGCAATACTTACACTAGACAAAATAGACTTTAAAGCAAAGACTATAACAAGAGACAAAGGATGGCCCAGCAAATCCACTTCTGGGTACTTATCCAATGAAACTCAAAACATTAAATCTAGAAGACACATACATCATATGTATACTGCATTATTTACAATAGTAAAGATATGAAAGAAACCTAGTGTCCATCAATAGATGAATGGATTAAGAAGAATATATATATATATATATTCATATATATATATATCCCCAGCCAGTTTGGCTCAGTGGATAGAGCATTGGCCTGCAAACTGAAAGGCCCCAGTTTTGATTCTGGTCAAGGGCACATGCCTGGGCTGTGGGCTCGATCCCAAGTCAGGGGCTTGCATGAGGCAGCCGATCAATGATTCTCTCTCATCATTCATGTTTCTATCTCTCTCTCCCCCTCTTCCTTCCTCTCTGAAATCAATAAACCTATATTTTTGAAAAAGCAACATTACTAAACTTATAAGAATATATATATATGATTTCACTTATATGTGGAATCTAAAAAACAAAATTAAGAAACAAGCAGAACAGAAACAGACTCATATACAGAGAACATTTTTTTAAAATATACTTTATTGATTTTTTACAGAGAGGAAGGGAGAGGGATAGAGAGTTAGAAACATCGATGAGAGAGAAACATTGACCAGCTGCCTTCTGCACACCCCCTACTGGGGATGTGCCCGCAACCAAAGTACATGCCCTTGACTGGAATCGAACCTGGGACCCTTTAGTCCGCAGGCCAACACTCTATCTACTGAGCCAAACCGGTTAGGGCCAGAGAACATTTTGATAGTTGCCAGATGGGTGCGAGTTTTGGAGATGGGTGAATAAAGTGAAGGGATTAAGAAGTACAAATTGATAGTTACAGAATAGTCACGGGATGTAAAGTACAGCATAGGGAATATAGCCAATAATATTGTAATAACTATGTATTATGTCAGATGGGAAATACATTTATTGGGATGATTACTTTGTAAGTTATGTAATGTCTAATCACTGGGTTGTGCACCTGAAACTAATATAATATTGTATAGCAACTGTAGTTAAAAATAAAAAAAAATAATTAAAAAAAAAAGAGTTGACATAGAATACATTTATGTAGTGGCTAAAATCGCATTCTGACTTTCCAGTCACAAGTGATCTGGTGATGGAACCAAATAATCTGGCACCATAAGTAGCTCTTGATGAGTTCAGTTTTTGTTTGTTTTTCTTTCCAGAATGAGTCTACATAATGAGAGGAAATAAAGGTGGGTAAATACAGAAGAATAACACACACAGTTGGGGAAATGACAGAGAATATAAAATAGGCCTTTATTTTCTTTCAAAAAAATTATTTGTGTGTTTTAGGCAATTTTCAGTTTGGGAGCCAAGAAAAAGAATAAAAAAAGCCTTATCGGTTGAGGCAATGACAGAAAGAAAGCAAATATCCCCAACTCTCAATTTTGCTTTGATCTTTTATATCAAGAAGAAAAGTCTTAGAACTGAGAACAGATGAAAAGAGCTGAGAGGGAACAAAGTTCACAACAGGTAAGGAGACACCCAAAGGGTTCCTTTCATCTGAGCCAAGTATTCTGGTCTAAACAGATTATAACTCATGACAGACACATCTTGTCAATGTGACTAAACACTAGGCTTTATTCTTTGAAAAATTAAGGAGAATTGGGAACAGGAAAATCGTTTTGATTTTTAAAAAGAAAAATAAGTTAGATTCTGGAAACAACAGACTAGTAAATGATGTTAGCCCACAGCAGAATTCTTAAATGGTTTATTAAATATTTTCTGAGCATTTAGAGAAGTGACAAGCACCACCAGCCCATAGGGGCTCAATAAAATTAAAGCAGGCCATGCGGATCTCATTTTCTCTTTTGAAAGCATAGCTAGACAGGAGCAGCAAGGACTGCAGACATAGAAATGCAGCAAGGAATGCTTAGCTTGATCTCTGCCACTGAAAAGGGGTCTTCTTTGGGTCCAGCGGATAAAGGGGCAGAAGTTCTACCGATGCATAACTTACTGAGTAATTAAACCCAAAGAGTGTTGACTGCGTGCTGCAGGATTCTGTATTTGGCCCTACCCTAAACAATGTAGGTATCAACAAGATCAAGACTTAAGAAGAAAAGTACAGCAACAATTGTATAGGTGACTTTAGGCTAGGAAGGAGAGCTAATATATTGGAAATAGAGTCAGTAATCAAAACCACCTCAGCAAGCAGCAACAACGTAATGAAATTTAAAATTCAAGTAAAAAAATAATTCAATAGAATTCAAATTTTAAGAATTCAATAAAGATGCCAAATCCTACACCATATATATTCTCAAATACAAATAATACAGGGTCTCCGGAAACAAGTCAAGTGATGCTGTAATAATGTACTCTACAGATAGGAACATCAGACTGCTCAAAGGCAAGACAAATAGAACAAGAGATGCTCTTAGTGCTCTTATCACTTAGGAAATTACAAGGGTTTCAGGAGCTCTGTGCCAGGAACAGAGGCGGTGGGGGGGGGGGAGGGGGGGGAGTGGTGGTGGCAGAGACCAAGCACGTATTTCTTATTATAAATCACAATATCACATTTTTGTTTTCTTTTCTCACCTACCTCTTTCCCAGGGGGTCAGCAGCTGGGTGAACAGGTTTGCTTTGACACAGAACCAGAAGTTACATTTTCTACAGGGACTTTCAGTTATATTCTCAGAAACTCATTTAAAAATAGTTTGTCATTTGCCTAAATAAAAAATGTGAATGTTCGCCATAAATCTTATGGATTTCCACATCTGTGGAAAGGAGGGTGAAATGGCTAGGGGAGTGAAAGACCTGGAAACCATGAAGAAAAATGGGAAATAAAATGTAAAAACAAGAAAAGTGAGGAATACAGTGTGAAGAATTTCCTGGGAGGATGTGTTGTGAGAGCCACCCTTAAATATGTGAAAAACTGTCCTTTGAAAGAGAAATCACAAGTCCACATACTCCAGGTGACTTCAGAAGAGAGGAATGAGACCCTTGCCCAGAAGTCATGGGGTCTTAGACTTGGCTACACTAACACACTTCTTATCATCCTTGCTGTCCCAAAAACTCACAAGTGAGCCGTCTGCTACAGCACAGCTAGAGTCCCATCAGAGGTGGGGGCTGCAAAGAGATTTGCAAACTCTGAGAGGAGGGTTTAGGATGCTCTGTTGCCATGTAAACAGGTCATCATGTAGTTTATTCCCTTATACACAACACCCATGATCTAGTGAGGAAGGCAGCATGGTATAGTGGTTAAAAGTTTAATGTCATCCCTTCAAGTCTGAACCCCAGCTCTGTCACCTACTCACCATGTGACCGCAGTGACCTTGAGCAAGTTAACTATCCCCCCTGGACCATAGTTTTCCCATCTTCAAATTGGGGCTGATATGAGCATCCACCCATGGAATTGTATGAGGGTCCCTGGGTTCATGCACAGGAAGCACTCAAAACAGTGTCTGGGACCTAGGAAATGCGTGATAAAGTTAGCAATTTATTGCGATTACTCTGTGATTTTTTTTTTTAATCTCCCTGAAGATTCCTGGTTACCAGTTCTAGGTACAATGTGCCGTTCACCTGAACAGACAGGAGGATGTCACTCAAAGATGAGAGACTCAAGTATCATTCAAAAGGGACTTTCACCTGAACATGACTACAAACTCGAAGAACAGCACAGCACAGAGCAGAAGGGAGAAGCCAGTGACTCGTCCTCATTCACAGACCCACATGTTTCTCAAGCCAGCGACCCCTGGCAGAGATTTCTGCCCCCGGAGGGCAAGCTGCTGCCCTGCGGTTAGCAAATGTCTGGAATGTGGATCCAGCGTCTAAGGAGCAGCCTCCACTGAGGCCGGTGCTGGCTTCTCAGGCTCCTCTCCCAGATCCACAATGCGGATGGTGTCTTCCTTCTTGGAAAGCCAGAAGGCTGGGTAGACTGGCTCCGAAAACTTGCAGTCAAACCTGTGAACCAGAGTCATGGCATCGGGCTCCACGCCGTAGAAGGAGAGCATCCCTCCTGGGAAGTTGATGTAGATGCCCAGCCTCCGAAAAGGGCCGGCTTTGAGCGGGGTCTCCGTGTCGCTGTGCCAGGCCGAGAACTCCTTCCCGTTCCAGTGCAGGCTCCAGGAGAAGTTGTTTCCTGAAATACAGCTGTTGCGCTCCTCCCCTTTCCGGTCGATGCCTTTGCAGGTCAGGCCGACATAGGTGCCTGTCCCAGAGATTTCTATCTCGAAGTAGTACCTGTGCAGGTACAGGCTCTGCTGGGACAGCACCTGCCGCCAGTGCAGGAACCTGCTGGGGAGGTCCGGGTAGGGATGCTCCCAGGGTGTAGTATTTGTGACTTTGCGGTTGTCCTCCTGCAGCCGGAGATACCTGTGTGCCGTGTCAGGGTCAAACGCGATATCACAGGCATCTGAGGAGATATGGAAGTCAGGGAGAGTAGGTCAGAAATCCAACAGAATACCTCAAACCTGACCATCCTCTGCAGTATGAGAATACACCAATCTCTCTGTTCTGCTTACCCAAGCTGCTCTGAACCCTGGAAGAAAGTTGCTGCCCTGTGGTTAGCAAACCAGAAAATGGAATACAATGTGATATTGTGATTTATAATAAGAAGTACATGCTTGGTCCCTGCCCCCACCCCTTGCCGGCACAGAGATCCTGAAACCCTTGTAGTTAGTTTCTTGGGTGATAGGACTGACTTTTGTTCTAATGAGGTGACTGGGGTGGGCCTCTGGATGGCTCCTGGATGGGGCAGAGACCAAGCCATGATTAAAAGGTTGGAATTTCCAGTGCCACCCCCACTTTTCCAAAGAAGGGAGAGGGGCAGGAAATGGAGTGACTTGATGGTGCCTACATGAGGAAACTCCATTTAAAAATCCCATTAGTAGGCGAAGAACTTCCATGTGGGTAAACATATCCACCCTGGGAGGTGACGCACCCCAACTCCACGGGACAGAAGCTCCTGAGCTCCGGGCACGCCCAGACCTCACCATCTGTAGCTCTTCACCTGGCTGTACACCTGTGTCCACCATCATGTCCTGTAATAAACTGAGATCTGTGAGCTGCTATAGCAAATTAATCCAACCAAGGAGAGGTCATGGGAACCTACAATTTGTAGCCAAATTGTATGGAAATTGTGGGTAACCTATTACTTGTGAACAGCATCTGAAGTTGGGTAGGAGCAATTTCCTGGGACTGAGCCCTTAGCCGGTGAGATCTGACACCATCTCCAGGTAGACAGTGTCAGAATTGAGTTAAATCATAGGCCACCCAGCTGGTGTCTCAGAGAACTGCTTGTTTGAGAAACTGACGCACACACATGTTGGAAGTGTTCCCAGGTCCTTTTCAATAAGTCACGCCACTTCCTGTCTTTCTGAAGCTCGAATTGCTTGGCATTTCCTGTATTATTTGCTGAATTGAATCAAGAAATAAAATCCATAGATTCACTTATTCATTCTTTCAACAAATACGTGCTGAAAACCAGGCACAATTCTACCCAGTGTTGGCACATTTTATCCATTATTTGTGTGTGTGTGTGTGTGTGTGTGGGGGGGGGGGTTAATATCTGACCAATATTTAGCTTGGTGAACTCTCAAACAATCCCCACACATCTCTTCCCAGTCCCAGAAAATGATAGCACCTCCATGAACCCAGTTGCTCAAATCTTGCTAAAGTTATTTGCAACATTTCTTTTGCTCTCATCCTCACCCCTACCTTGGCCATCCTCACACACACAGGCATCAGCAAATCCTATGGATGCCACCCACTTCTCTCCAGGGCACTGCTTCACCCACTCCCTCCCATGGATCTCTCCCAGACTAGGACTACAGGCTCCTTGCTGGTCATGTTGCTTTCATGTGCCCCCATCTCATACCTTCCCCAGGATGGAGCCACAGTGTTTGTTTCAGGATGTAGGTCAAGGTGAATCATGTCCCCCAGCTTACAGCCCTTGGATGGTGCCCCTTGCTCTTAGGATAAAGCAGTGACCCCTCACCCTGACCTACCTGGCCCTGCATGAAGGGTCCTTGACTATGTCTCTAGCCTTGTCAACTGCCCTCTCCACTGATCTCAGACCCACCTAATACTGAACCTCCTTAAGGACTTTAGCACAGGCCATTCCTTCCATGATGTCATTGCTGCCCCAGCCAGGTCTGGGGATTCCTACTGATCCTTTCAGGTTGCGGCTGAGATTCCTGTCCTTAACGAGGCTCCCTGTGACTCCTTGATCCGAATCACTCCCATCACTGAGCACTTTGGCTGTTTTAAACTTGATGGTACTCATCACAATGTGTAATAATTTTTGTTTCATGCTCGTTCTCCTTCTTATCTGTAAGAGGTGCATTTTATGTGGGACTCTCTCCTGGGGTTCTAGCTCAGAGAAGATGCACAGTATGTACTTGCCAAATGAATGAACATATTAAAGTCTATTTTAAAATCCATTAACTTAAAAAGTTCTCAGTTTAACCTGGAGCTTTCCCAATTCCTTTGGTGAGAGGAATTCTTAGTAGTCAATGAGACTACATCCTGGAATAAAGGACACAGCAGTGCAGGAAATTAAACGCAAAAATGAGTGTAAACTGAGGACCATCAAAGGCGTATAGTCTGCAGCTGTTACTAAAAGTGGCCCCAACAGTATCCGCAGTATTGCTCTTACCCACCACCAACTCCTTGGGCAATCCTTGGCATCCAGATATTGAACAAAGATGTTTCTCTCATTTAAGGGGATGAAGGACTCCCTGGAGGGTAGGTGATTCTATGTTTTGGGACAAGAAAGCCAGATTGGGTCTGGAATAGCCCTAAAAGCAATGATACTTCTAAGGATATCAAAGGCAGAATGCCAATGTTTAAAAGAGAAAGAGGCCAGCGTACAAGTGGCTCCAACTGGTCAAGGTGGCAATTTGAGCCCCAGAACTTTGAAAAGTGAAACATCTGAGTCTACGAAGGTTAAAGGTTCATAACAACACTCACATAGAAATAGTTAATATTGGGTGTACAAAAATATATTTGTCATGCAAAAGAAAATAGATTATAATAGAATATGTGTCATTTTTGTTTTAATGTTAAGAATGAAGGGTATTTGGCTTCTTGTATTAATCATATCTGTTTGTAAAATACAGATGTTCTTCTGCCAGGAAAAGGCAAGAATAAACCACAGAAATGGTGTGGAAACCAAGAGATCCTGGGAAAAGTCAGAGCCATGGCAGGAGTAGGAGGCAGGTATCAGAACCCGAAGCTGCATGTGATAACTGGAGAAAAAGGGGCCCAGGAGTTGGTCAGCCAGGGGTCATCCCCCAAAATAATAAGAAGCAGAGTTCAATGGCATATTCCAAAAAGATGAATTAGCCATGTCGCCAACATGAGCCTTCACATGCAGATGCAGTCCTTCCTCTACTAGGAGATGAAACCTCATGGGCTTGTTAACCATCATGAAGTGTCGATTGGCAGCGCAGTGTTGTAATAATGCTAACAGAGCAGGTCAATACCACATCATGACAGGACAATGTGTTATGCAATCCGGGCCAAGCCAGACTTCATGGGGAACCATTTGGTATCTACAAGGCTGTACAAAAGTGCCAAGGTCGCGAAAGACAAAGAAGGACTGAGGGACCAGACCCAGGTTGGGGGAGTCTAAGGAGGCATGGAAATACCTGTGATCCTGGATTGGACTTTAGGTTAAAAAAAAAAAAAGGACATTGGTTAGAACACTGGGTGAGACGGGAATACATTTTGTAGAACAGTTAGTATCACTGTAGCCACAATGTTTATTCCCTGGTTTTGATCAATGTACTGAAGTTATGCAAAGTGTTAACATTTGGAAAAGCTGGATAAAAAGTACATGGGAATTCTTTGTCCTATTTTTGCATTTTTTTTTAAGTTTGAAATTGTTTCGAAGTGAAAAGTTAAAAGCAATTGTAATTACATTTTTCAAAATGTACCATTTAGGGATAGACCAAAGATTGCAAGAAGCTGAAACCTCTGTGAGAGAAGGCATTCCTGCTTCAGCAGAGCATGGCACTGACATCAATAACCAGGAAGAGAGCTGCTCACACTTACATTGGAGGAACTGTTGCCTGGTGCTGGGCTCAGGTTTTGAGGTCCGATACTTGAGCTCGACCACAGCTGACACTTGCGTTCTGATGTCATATTCCTCTAGAAAGTCAGAGAGTTGTGAATGAACACCTGTCCAGGGGGTCAGGAGAACTCAGAAGCAGGTCTTCCCAGCCACCCTTCCCCAGGTTTCCTGGAGGCAGATGGGGCTGGAGCCTCATCACGTCTCAGAGAACCATACTCACTGGACCACATTTCTCTTATGGATGAAGCAAAATAGCCTAAAAAAGATGTCAGACTGGCCTGTATTTCACTTAAAAGAATAGGTGTTAGCAACCTGAGAGACATAGAAATGTCAGCCAATGGCATGATGTGACTAGCCCACCTTATCTGGGTCTCAATTGTAAAATGAAATCAAGACCTGTCCATTAGGAACACAGTCTGGCCAAAGGATGGCTTTGAAAATGAGACATGCCCCTGATTTCGCCTCCTCCCCTGGCGCTCTCTCTCACCTTCCCCATCAACCACTCTGAGAGACACACACCACAGCCCACAGGAAGTTTCTCACCGTCCTTCGCGAACTCCTGGAGCTTTTCCTTATAGTTGTGCAGCAACTGGACTAGGTGCACAGTGGAGTCCGTGATGACCTTGCGGATGCCCGAGAGCTTGTCCTTGAGTCCTATGTAAACGCTAGGGAAGGCACTGTCCTCGGTGTTCTTAAACTTGCAGTACTCCTGCAGGGAGGGAAGCACGGCGTTGCCCTGGTTTCTGTGTTTCCTTAACTGGCTGCTCTCCTCATTCTGTCCCCCTTTGCTGCTGTAAAATGGGTCGATGGCAATGTGCACTTCACAAAGGGAGTATGTCAGACGTGCAGCTCAGGGGCTAGCAACATAGAAACCATTTATTTTTTAAGCTGGGAAAGTGGGTTTTTAAAAATCAAGAGATACTAGATGCCCATGAGCAGCTCCAATACACAGCCCAGACTGGAGCCAAGAAGACATTTAATGCCAACAGCCAAAGGAGGTGATATTCCTGCTATGCTCACACCCTCAGGACTTTTAAAAATAATTTGGACATAAGCCACAGTGGGGAATGGAGGAACCTGTATGGCGCTCAGAGGTGCAGGGATAAGGCCTCAGACAGGAATGCTAGCTGCTCTCCCTGCCCGAGTTCACGATTCCCTCTCATTCTTGTACTGTGATTCGGAGTTTGAAAAGTGCTTCCACAGAGATAAACACATTAAGTCAGTGATGCTTCAAAACAACGTGGTGATCAGGAAATGTTGCTTTCAGACGTAACACGTTATCCAAACTCAAACGTAATTGAAGCATTGAAGAGCAGACTGGGTGCAGCGTAAAACTTAGCGATGGAAGCAGTTGTACCAAAACGGTAAGATAGATCAGTGAGAAAGAAGAAACAGTCCAAGCCAGAGAGCTGATAGAGAGAAAGGTAGATGAACATCGAAACACTGTATGTAGATTTTGAACCACACATGATAAAAGTAGCCAGTGGGGAAAGAATAGGTTATCCAGTAGCTGTTGTCATGTCAGCTGGCTAGCAATTTAGGGAAAAGGAAATTATTTTTACCCAAAGTAAGTAAGTTAACTTATCTAAGATATTTTGTGCATATTGAAGTTTTTATGTTAAAGCTATAAAAGGAAAATGAAAAGAAATTGTGTATATTCGCTTTGGAGAAACTCGTGACATGAAGGTCAATTTTGATTCATAGTCTCTTCACGTTTTGATATTGGAAAGCAAGGAACTAACAAAAAGACATTCCATCCATATTTTTGTCTTTGCTTCTCTTTCTCTCACTCATTACAAGGTTAACTATGGTTGTCTGGGTGGTGGGAGTATGGGTGATTATTTTCCTTCATATTTTTCTGGTTTTCACACAGTAAACATTTATATTTGTTGTAACTAGAAGGGAACTTTTTAAAAACTGTAACAGAGAAAAATTATCTGTATTTAGGGATATTGGATCTGAAGGAACTAATTATGTACTATGCCCTGATCCTTTGATAAATGAGGAATTTGGGAAGTTAAGTGACTTGCTAAAAACTACACAACTACTTAGACCCAAGATGACGGAATTTATGCGCAACCAAGTGTTCCTCCTCTGCAATAGCACAGGGGCTCGGTCTAGCTCTAATGGCCTGTGCCCTGCATACTGTGCACTGCAATGAAATCCCCGCACATGTAACAGGCCTCCAGCCTCACCCTGCCAGGCCGGCCTCACCACATCACAGTGGTTCGAAAGCACACTCCTCCCCCACCTGAAGCCTCCACCGCTTCTGTGACTCCTTGATGAATAGCAAAGTTCTCTCACAGCCAGATGCCTGCCAGGCCTGGCCAGCCTCCTCTCCCATCTCTGGGAAAGCACCTAATCCCCCAAATCAGCATGCTTTCTCAAACCTCCCTGCCTGCATACATGCCTTCTCAAACCTCCCTGCCTACATACATGCTTTCTCAAACCTCTCCCTGCATACATGCTTTCTCAAACCTCTCCCTGCATACATGCTTTTTTCAAACCTCTGCCTGCATACATGCTTTCTCAAACCACTGCCTGCATACATGCCTTCTCAAACCTCCCTGCCTACATACATGCTTTTTCAAACCTCTCCCTGCATACATGCTTTTTTAAAACTTCCCTCCCTGCATACATGCCTTCTCAAACCTCCCTGCCTGCATACATGCCTTCTCAAACCTCTCCCTCCCTGCATACATGCCTTCTCAAACCTCCCTGCCTGCATACATGCCTTCTCAAACCTCTCCCTCCCTGCATACATGCTTTCTCAAACCTCTCTGCCTGCATACATGCCTTCTCAAACCTCTGCCTGCATACATGCTTTCTCAAACCTCCCTGCCTGCATACATGCTTTCTCAAACCTTCCTGCCTGCATACATGCTTTCTCAAACCTCTGAATCGTTCTTCTGAGCAGTACTCATCTGCCCTGACTGGTTCCAGCTTCTGGTTCTGCGAAGTCTCCCCTGCCCTGCCTGTTCTCCTGTGCTCTGCTGAATCAAGACCTGCCTCTCTGCCCCCCTTGCTCCCACTGTTCAGAGGGCAGCTTCATCCCCTCATCTGCCAGCTCACTCCCTGGTGGTCCTGTGTGGACACCTCTGCCCCCACCCAGCCATACCTCCAGGAACAGCACGGTGTTGCTGATGGCAGCGATTCTCCCCAGCTCCTGCCTGCTCTTCTCCATCTCCGCGCTGCTGTGCTCCAGGTGCGTCTTGATGCCATTGGCCTGGCTCAGAGCAGCTTGTTCCTTCTCCTCCAGGAAGAGCATCACATCAGCCTGGGCCTTCCTCACGGCAGCAAGGAGCTCCCCAAACTGCTCCTCAGCCACCATCTTCACCTCTGACACTGACACCTGGCCGGGTGGGGAGGGGGGCACAGCGAAGAACCTGTTAGCAAGGCGTCCACCGTTATTGAAGCTAAACACACCGAAATGTAAACCTGATAAACAGATTAAGGAACAATTTTCTATTGTAAAAGGAGGCTTTATTCTCATATGAACCCTGGGTTCTGTAAAGAGATACTCCCCAGCATGTAAAAGGACTTGTGTACCCGTCATTCACTTACCTGTCATTCACTTAGGCTCTCATCCACTGGATGTGTGCCAGACGCCTTCCAGCTCTGACAGTCGGGCTGCTATTCAAAGTTCTGAAATCAATTCTCTACCAGGGAAACTCAAGAGTTTAGTGTACTTTATAGTTGTATTTATTGTAGTTAAACTATTATTTTGGCATCTTTGTACAAATCTGTAGCATGAATTAGCTTTCTTAGCATTTTGTTATATCTGTTTAAACAGCCCACTGAGGCCATCAGCGCCAAAAGCATAAGTAAGTTTATGGCATCCTGCCAGGCATGAAATGCTTAGGGTGTGTTTGGTGCAGAGTGAGTGCCATATTCAAATAACAGATAAACAAACTCAGAGTGATAGCTGTCACATGGCACTGTGCATGTGGGACATCCATCCACCCATCTTTCACAGGTGAACCTCTTATGAATGCCTTCCTTCAGTCAGTCTCACATTTACAATATCCATCCAAGTTGTGGATGGTTTCCGCTTCTCTTTGGTATTTCTTAAGTACTGGTGCCTTCAGCTCTTCTAGTAAAAAGTTCTCTTTTACTATAGTTAAGATTTCTTAAAATATAGTAAAAATATTGCATTCTCATGAATAATGAGCCCTACACTCCTAGCCCTAGAACTAGATGCTAGGTGGTCTGGATGCTGGATGCCAAGTAACCTAGGAGATGGGTCCCAGGAGATCTGGCCACATCCAGTGGTCTGTATAATGAATGTCACTTGGATATCAGGTGGCCTGGGTATGTGAGCCCTTCAGGAGGGAATTGGGATTCCTGGAGGTCTGGTGTATGCAGATGGGGATCCAGGCATTGACACAGGACTGGAAAGTTCAGAAAGTTTAAGTTCCCAGGATAGTTAGGACAAGATTAGAGTCTTGCCTCATGCCTCAGCCTCCATAATGTTAATAATGTTATCAGCTTTGTGAAAGTGACTTCATTTTATATATTTCCTATTTTTACTCTTTCCTCAGAGGCAAGAAGCATTTATTTGGAATTAAAAAGAATTGCAGCTCAGAGAACACCAATTCCGGCAGAAACCCAAACCATGTCCCAATTACAGGATGAGGGCAAGGGGTTATTATGAGGAAAAGAAGGGAATAACTACATGAACAGGATAAAAAAGAAATTTCTGTTGGTGCTAATAAGCTGGGTCACTCTTGAACTGTACACGACTGGTTTATGATTCTTCTTCAGGAAGAGAGTCCATAATTTTCAGTCCTTCTGGCCAGATGTTTGCTTTCCTGTTGCCTTAGCAAGACAAGGTTGGTTTGGCCTGGGATGTTGTGGGAAAGGAGAGGAATCCACTTACTCCCTATAATGATGACATGTAGGTTCCTCATAGAAGCATGATTTCATGAAGCTCAGAGGCGTAAGACTAAACACAAACTTCAGGGTCCAAATCCCCCTCCCTAGAGGGGTCCTCCTGAGGAGGAGCTGTAGACAGGAGGCCTCAAATGATGCTGGTGGATTCACCCTTCCACTATTATGTGTAGCCTCTCACTCCTAAACGTTCCCTTGGAGAAGTACTTCTTCCTTGCATGTAAATGGAATGTGTGAAGGATTTAATTTACTGCCCAAATGATGACAAATAAAGATGATGGAAAGGAGGGGCCACAAACATATCAAAGTGCCAAAGGTGATGGAGTAAAGAGGATGGTGCACATGTCTGTCAATGTACTGAGTCATTCTTAGGTCAAGGGAGCAACAGTCCCAGGTTCACCTGTTCCATCAGTCTGGAGGCTCCAGGCAAGTCTTATCATATCTCTGCCTTCATGTCCCTTGTACATGGTGACTTGGTGATAACTATCTCTCCCAGTTACCATGCAATTAGGAAGAGAGCTGGGTAGGGATCTAAGTGTCTGAAAATGAAAGAACATTTCAGAAAAAGGCAAGGTGCTCTGTGTGATTGTCCAGATTATGCCAAGCCTGGAAATCAACAATCTCTGAAGGTTTATAAGGCTTCAAATGGGCAATTGTTTTTCTTGTTTTCATATGATTATGTGGGTAAAAAAAGAGGTGTTTACCCTTCAGGAGCTAGTTAGTCGTAAACACTAAGGAGGAGGAAATTAAGTTGAAATGAATACATGCATTACATATGGGTAGTTAGATGGAGGGAGGGATGCATGGATGAGTTAATGGATGGGTGAGTGGATCAGTGGATGGATGGATGGATGGATGGATGAATGGATGAGTGGATGGATGGATGGATGGAATAGAATCGTTCTTGTTATACAAAGATGCTGCTGCTGATTCACTGCCACAGGGTAGGTGTATTGAGTTCTCTTCTGAGTAGTGGTTATTGGTTTGCCACTAATGAGAAACATTGTGGGACTGTTTGGGTCTACATACAGTTTACATGCAAAGTGGTCATAAAACCAGAGAGACTAACACTAAGTAGCCTGCACACCACTGACCTTAACAACTACCATCCACTAATCCAGCAGTTTTCAACTCTCTTTTCTGTCTGCCAAGACATGGGACTACTGACACACATGCAGGTGGAGAAGCAAAGATTATGTGTGATTCCTGGAGCTCTATCTAAACACCCCCTGCAGTCCCCCACACCCTTTTCTCCTGCTCAAGAAAAAATATACAAATGTAAAAATAATGCTGTTATTACAGGACTAGTCTTGTTTTTACTCTATATTATGAAAAAGTAACTCACTTTCCAATTTTGAGCCTGAAACTAATTTCATAGAAAATCCCAACAGCAAGGTTAGCCACCCAGTGGTGTAGCTGACTGCATCTGTTCCTATCATTCTCATTTGCTGAGAGACCCTAAAGAGTCCCGGGGCCTGCAGCCCCATGTCCTACAACCCTGATGGGCCTAGCTGAGCCTGCAGCTGCATCCAGATGTGTACTGAAGCCTGACAGGTGACCCAGTCCAGCCTTACCAAAACGGATTTATGATTGGCTTGGAGCCTGGCAATGGCATTTTCATTCAACTTGAGTTTCCGCTCCAGGTCTAGCTGGGTGCTCCGAAGCTCAGCCTAAGAAAAGAAAAGGACAGCATTAAGTAGGAAGGAGTCCAACGCACACAGAAGGTCCCAGGAGCAATAGCACTCTCCACCTACTTTCATGGAAAGGAGAGTTTGACCTCGGAAGCTGCTCTCAAAGTCAGCCCAAAGCACCTTAAATGGAGGTGCCCAGGGTCATCTGTGTGCCAGCACCTCCTGGGGCTGAACGCAGCATGAATTGGCTATAATATGGGGAGCACATACATGGTGCAGGCTTGTCATTAATTTCAGCAGTTATGTGGATTACCTCATATCAACCTGACCACACCCATATTAGGTTAAGGTCATTATCTCCATTTTGCAGATGATAACATCAAGCTACTTATGAAAGGTGAACTATGGAGTTGAGTCCAGGCCATCTGACCTAGGCCAGAATAACCTAACAAGGAGCATGGGCTTGGAGCTGATGGAGGGGACCCCAGGCTTTCTACTTGGCAGCTGAGACTTTGAAAAAAAATCTACTTAACACCTCGGGACCTCCATTTCTTCACCTGTGAAGTCCTAATTTGCAGGGTTCCTGTGAGAGTCAAATGAGGTAGCCTGTGTTAATAAGAACTCTGCACAGTAGCTGGAGCATTGTAAATGCTGCATCAATGCCAGGGATGCCGTCACCTTCGTCAGTATCCTTAGTATTGTTGCTGCCACAGCTGCTTTCCACCTCGCATTCTTGTTCACTCCTGGAGGCAGGTCTAGTGAACCAGCGAGGCAAGTGCCCACCTGGGAACCTCGGTTTGACCCCACTGCCCAGCTTCATCTCCTGGGACACCCTAAGCACTATCTGCCACAAAATGTGCCAAGGGATGAAACATAAGCCTTTGAAAACTTTCAAGGCCCTCTCACTTTCCTGCTTCCACAAGGGCATGAGACAGCAAAAAAGAAAAAGAATAGCTTTAGCTATAATTGCTTTTAATAGGTTGTCTGCTTTCAAAGCCGTGAGTCATTGTGCCCTAATAGGACTCAGAGGCTACAAATGAAGTGCCTCTCCTTTCTCCCACTGAAACCTGGGGGACACCCAGGCCTCCCAGTGAGGGAGCCTTGGCAGGCAGGTACTGCTTGCTCAGCTCTGGGGCGCTGACTTGGAGCCGAGGGAACCCCAGTGACCTCCCTCCCACTCCTGAGACCTGATGCCCAGGAATGAGGATGGGGGAGGGGATCTGGCCTATTTGGGGGCAATTGTGGAATCTTGATCTGTCTAAAACAGCGGTCACCAACCTTTCAGACCTCATAGACCACCAGCGGTCCGTGGACCACCGGTTGGCGATTGCTGGTCTAAAAGGTTTACACAATGACCTTTTCCAGAGGAGGGGAAGGAACATGAGCCGCTGTTTAAAAGTGGACACAGACACAACAGAGCAGCCTGGCAATGTGAGAATGTGGTGAAACAGTGAGCCCTGGTGTGAGCCAGAGCCACAGGGAGACCCCAGAGAATCTCCAGGGAGGCACTTCTCTCACTTCTGCAAACCACCATAAAAGGAGAAAGAGGCTCCTATGAACCTAATGGTGACCTCTCTGAGTGAGTCACCCCAAGAGAAGTCACTCCTGTTTACCACAAAAGGTGGGGTCACTTTGAGAAACCAGTATCTCCAGTTGTTCCTCCTCCTGGAAAATGATGGGGTGGCTCAGACTCTGGCTTCAGGGTTTCCTATGATGCCAGCCATACACATCTCAGGCCAGGGCGCCCGAGCAGGACAGCAGTGTCAATGGTGGAGACAGCCCAGTGTTGAAGGGCACAGAGTCCTGCCTGCTTCGGCGGGGCAATGACAAATGTGCAAAAGGCACCAAATCTGGGCTCTGGAGACCTGGTTGCTGCCTGTACTACCTTCATCAAGTCATTTCATATCCCCTCTGGTGCAGGGCCATAGGACTATGTCACAGAATTGTCCTCGTTTCTATCTACAGGGCGAAGGTGGCCATCCAGAGCTCCGTGGCCAGGAACCAGATTAGAGATGCAAATAGGAAGAGCAGAGACATGAGAAAAGAGCAGAACATTACGTTTGGTGGTTGTTCCTTGGTACCTCCCACCACAGGATGCTGGTCCTTCGGGAGTGTTTGCATTTGGTTCCCACCTGACTTCACTCCTCAGTCATTGGTCAGAACCGGCCACATGCCAGCCCAGTGAACTAAGACATCCTCCCTGCTCTTGAAAGACATACCGTGCAGCCTGGTGGAATGTTTAAGAAAAACAAGTGACATAAGACTGAGTCCAAGGCACTCCTCAAAGTGTCTAGGAGAAATTCTTTTCCTGAGAGGCCTTCGCTCACTGCCTCCCGGATGCCAGCAAACAGGCTGTGAGCGACGCTGGTCCACTGCTTCCCAGAGATGCACTGATATTGGGGCTCTCAGAAACTGGGCTCCGGTCCCACACGGAGGCTGTGTCTGCGGGCAGCACACAGTCCTGAGCTCCCGGAACCAGTGCTGAGGTTGAGTGCGATGGCCCATCATTAATGGAATTCGAGATCTGAGTCAGGGCCCAGATCAGTCTTCCCTCCCTCAAGAACCCTGCCTGCCTTGACCTCAGCGCCACGACCACGCCCTCTTCGATCGCGTGGCAGCTGTGTTGCCCAGCCCTTTGGCATTCCGGGAAGCCACAGAATGTGCCTTGGCTTCCTGTTCCTAAGGACAGACAGGGTAAATAGCATGGTCAGCCATGAGGATACTGCCCAGAGGAAGCACTCCATAATAAGTGATAAACTTGAGGAAAAACAGGAAAGAACCTTGTGCATTTTCTGGGGCAGAACAAACAGGAGAGCAGTCAGAGAGAGTGCACACTTTCCCATGCATGCACCTAGCACAGCTCGCTGCACAGCTCCCCTGAGATGGGGAGGCGGGAGAGGAGGTAAGACCAGAGGCTCTTAGAAGTGAAGGGGCCTTGGGAAGCTGGTCTGGAGCAAAGGGAAGTGCTGAGGTCCCCATTAGGAAGAGTCTAGCAGAATAGAACAAATAATCAAAGAACACCCAGAACTCCCCAAACTCGGCATTTGTCCCCTGGGATAGCTAAAGGCCGGGGGAGCTTCCGAAAGGGTTCCTTGGTTAACTGAGATGTAAGTTGCTCTGCGCTGATGCCAGATTTCGGCTACTTTGTGTCCTCATGGCTGACCATGCTATTTACAGTTTTCTATGCACAACATGCTTGCTTGAGTAATTAGCCCTTAACACGATCCAAAGTGACCTTCAGCAAGTGATGCCAGCAGGTTTGGGCCAGCTGAAGGGAATTTAATTTCGTCTAATAAGACTTTCAAAATAATCCTGCTGGCAGTTGCAGCCTCTTTGAGGCACTGGGTCTTCTGGGCTAGTACCTTGGGCCCCTGGCAGGAAACCTTTTGGCTCCTAAGATTTGGCAAAGCCATCTAGAGCATGGCTGCCACTTACAGAGTAAACTGACTATTTGAGCTGAAAACAAGGACCCAGGGTGGGCAGGACAAGAACTCTCTTAGGCAGACCAGAAAGCAGAGCCTGTGAATTGGGGCCATCGCCAAAAATCTGGGGTCTGGGGCTGTCGCACCGTGTTGAACACCATGATTGCCTTTAAGCACTAAAACCTTCCCTAGAACCCCTACCCAGCTGTCTTTACTTTATCCTACCAGTTCCCTTGCAGCAGTTCTCAACCTGTGGGTCGTGAACAATGAAAATACATCTGCATATCAGATATATACATTACGATTCCTAACAGTAGCAAAATTATAGTTATGAAGTAGCAACGGAAATAATTTTATGATTGGAGGTCACCACATGAGGAACTGTATTAAAGGGTCGAGGCATTAGGAAGGTTGAGAACCACTCTTAGGGCATCTGAATTTGGGGATCCACACATGCTCTACACAACTTTTTGCTCAGAATTGCAGTTACCCTAAGTCTCTGTAATGCATCAGTGTACACTACATTTAAAATGCATATTGTGTCTATGCTACTACAGGCATAGAACATTCCTTAAGGAAAACAGAAGGGCCCTGACCAGTGAGCTCAGTGGTTAGCATATTTGGCCCACACACTGAAGGTCCAGACAAGGGCACACACCTGGGTTGTAGGTTTGACTCCCTCTCTCCGTGAGGGAGTCAGCCAGTAGCAATCAATGGATGTTGTCTCACATTGATGTTTGAGTTCTCTCTCTCTCTCTCCATTTCCCTCCTTCACTTCCGCTTTCTCTGAAAAGCAATGGAAAAAAATATCCTCAGGTGAGGATTAAAAATTTTTTCAATTAAATTTAAAAAAGAAAACAGAAGGAAGTATAGATGGTGGCGTTTGCCCCCAGGGAGGGAGATGGAGATGCAGGATGAGGGTGGAACCATCTCCTTGTATAATCTATTGCAGTATTTGGTGGAGACTGATTTTCAACATGTACACACACCACTTTGCCAGCAAAGTGTAATTAAATCCAGACATATACCCAAAGGAAAAAGCAGTGCACTTTGTCTTACTATTTCTATTATATGTGTGGTAGGTTGTTAGTACAAAATAAAGTCAGGTTATCATATTGTGATCTTGGGGTCCTTCCCTTGGGCTCCTCCAGTGGGGTGGCTCCAGGAGCTTTCACTCCTCTCTCCATGACTTAGTCATCTGTGCGAGTTTAGACTAATGTGGAGACAAAAGATCGCCACCTCACAGAGTTATCTGAGGACAGGGTGGAAAAATCCACGGAGAGCAGTTAGCACGTAGCAGTGCTCAGTAGAGACTAATTTCCTCAGTTATATGAGCTTTTCCCTTTGACCTGACTACCTGTTCGTGCAGAGCCTGTTCACGGTTATGAAAGTAGGGAGTTTCCCTGACACTGGAAACTCTAGAAACCACTGTCGAGTGGCTCCCAGAGTTGGAAACAGAGACTCACTGGCATCTGGGCTACAGCGCTTTTCAAAAACAATTCCCACTAACACTGATGGGATCTATGCCTAAGAAAGGGCAGGGGGAGGGGCCTGACGAGTAAACTACCCTTCCCAGAAGCCTCCTGACTGACAAGACAGGCCTGCCCTATAAGCAGTGAGCAGTGAGCAGCTCAGAAACCACCAGCAGTGCGAATACAAGGAAATGTGGGACAAAAGCAACTGCACTTCCTCACTGGGAAGTGCAAGGCTGAGAAACAAAGTACACAAAGTTCCTAAATCCATTCCCAAGAACGCTAGGCTCTCAGCTTTAGGGCTAGTTGTTTTAGAAACAGTTTCCCTATCTGATGTGAATAAAATTACAGGTTATGAGTATGGTGTTTCTATCTCTCCTGATTCCTCTATCTGATAAGGAACTTGAATTTTCCCAGAGTTAAGCTTCCTTGACATTGTGCCTGGAGGTAAGTTTCCAACTCTATGTTATCTTAGCCCCTTTCAAGCTCTTGAATTTCACCCTGGGTACCTCTAGGGGGGCACTTTCTACTGGTCTCCTGTTTGGGGGAGAGGGAAGAAGAGAAATTAGGGGAAAGGTTTGATGCTTTTTTCTTGAATTTATGCCAAGCTTTACTTTTCATTGACTGCCACAGAGACCTAGGCAAAAGGGACCATCTCTGCCCCAAGCCCCAGAGCTTCTGCACCCCACATCCAAACATGTAACAATGACGGCAGCGGCGTGAAAAACAGCAGGAAACAAGCCAGCATGAGGAGAGAGACACAGGCAGAGCCAGAACAGAGGCAGCAGGACTTCCATGGGGGCAGAGTGACCTACTTCAGTTTCCAAAGCCAAATGAAATAGATACTGCCACTGGGTACTGCCAGCTACTGGGGTAATGTCCTTCTCAGGTGAACCCAGAGCTCAGAAGTGAAGTGAGCACCCTGGGAGCTGCAGTGTGGCCCAGCCCCTCCCCGGCACAGCACCCCCCTCCCTCCCTCTCCCAAGTGGACCCCGGCACTTGCCTCCTTGTCCCTGCGGGCAACATTCAGGGAGACTGAGGCGTGGCCCTTGTGCTGGTCCTGACCACACTCCTGGCAGATGCACTGGCGATCCGGGCGGCAGAAGGCGACCAGCGGGCTGTGGTGGGCAGGGCAGGTGGGCAGGTCCCGGTCCTTCACCGGCTCTGTCAGCTGGTGGCTGTGCAGCTTGCTGTTCTCCCGGTGCGGCCTCAGGTGCTCCTCACAGTAGTTCAGCATGCAGGTCAGGCAGGACTTCACCGCCTTCACCCTCTGGGCCCCCAGGCAGAAGTCACATGGGATCTCCTCCTCACCACCGCCACCATCCTGGGAGCCAGCGCCCGGACCCTCCACCTCTCCCTGGGGGCTCTCCACGGAGCCCTTGTCCTCTTCTGCTGGGCTGGCTGACCCGGAGTCTGGGCTGAGAGTGACCAGGGAGTGAGCTGCGATCCCGGGCAGCGGCCCTGGGGCCATCAGGTCCAACTCGGCCATCTGGAAAGCACTGCGGCAGAGCTTTCCTGCTTCTGCTCCTGGGCCCAGGATCCTTGAAGCCAAAGTCAGACAAGAGAGCCACGCCCAGGTGATTGCAGCTGCTGCAAGATCTTAACTGTTTCCTCCCTCCCAGAGGAAGCTGGTTAGTAATTACTCTGCTCAGTGCTTGGACAGCAGCCAGCTGGGGTGGTGCCACAGCAGCTAGATTACTCATACTCAGGACAGCTGCTCAGGATGCCTTCCCACAGGCACAGGCCCCTCCTCGGGTCTGGTCCAAAATTTCAATTCTTATGTGAATCATTTGTTCCCATAGGCTAAGCCGAAGAGCATGTGTGTCTGTGGCTGCTCTGGAAAGGACTAGATATTCCTGAGCTCTGTTGTAAGAAGCCTGTGTTGCTTGACATGGTTTTGCAGGATACATTTTTTTGGTTTTCATTTTTTAAAGAAAACCAAAATGCAAGGACTTCAGCCTTAAGGCAGCACATTCATCCGTTCTTCTCTCATAGGCAACTAGGAACAAGATACATGCTTCTGCATCTGACATCCGATCTTTTCCACATCATCTTCTTACATATTTCAGTTCAGGTGGGTATTTAGTGTGGATCAGGAGGGTCAGGGAGGAGCTCCATTCAGACAAACCTCCCATCCTGCCCTATGGTCCTGGAGAGGGGTGTATGCCAAGAAATAGCCCTTTTGCCCACTTAAGAAGGTGTTTGCTCCTAGATACGCTGTATAAGTTTGCTTGGGCTACCATAACAAAATACACGGATTGGCTGGTTTTGTTAATCTGAAAGTAAAAGACCAAACTGAGAAGCAACCGGTGTTTATCTGAGATAAAAAAGGATAGCTATTTGGAAAACACTGATTCAGGCAGAAACCTGTGGGGGAGGAAGAAATTTTCCTCTACCCTTCTAGGTTCTTCCAGCTGGTCTAATATTCAAATAAACATGCGACAGATTAACAAGAGAAAATAACCAAATTTAATTCCATACATATGTATGGGAACACTGCATACCTGGGAGAACCAGACACCCCACATACATGAAAGTTTCAGAGACAGAAAAGGAAAATTATATATTTGGCATTCGGAGCTCAGGATGAGGTAAGGCGCCTTGGGGCTTCAGAGAGGAGGAAGGTCATTCACTGGAGAATAATAAGAAGAGCATATGTTCAGTAATTAGAGGCTTGCCCCACCCTACTATCTAGATAGGTCTTGAATATTTACTTCTGATGGTAACTTATTCTGGGCAAGGACCCAAATGTAAATTATGTAAGGGAGAGGTAAACATTTTTCATGAAACTGCAGGATCTTGATTACCTTCAGCTCAAAATAATTTACATGCCAAAGTGGCACATGTTGAGGAGGCCTGTACTGAACCTCTTCAAACCCAAATAGTCTTTTGATTCGGGAGTGCAGGCAAGGGGTCTTTATGAGGAAAAGGAAGGGGGATAATTACATGAATAAAGGAAAAATTTCTGAAGGTGCTATTAAGCTGTTATTCTTTAGCTGTACATGGTGATGCTAAATCTAAAGAATGCCTTTAATTTGCAGTCCAGTACTCAGGATGCCTGCTTCCTTAGTAACTTGCAAACAGTTGTTTGAAACACAATGTTGGTCTGGCCCAGTCCAAAGATTACTTTTCCAAGTTCAAACATTCCAAAGGTTGGAGGAGTAAGATATGCAAGGCTTCCCTAGCTCTATTTTTAAATGGCTTCAACTATATCAATATTTCACAGTTTGAACCACAGGAATTTATTTTCTCACAATTGTGAAGGCTGGGAGTCCAGGATGAAGGTGTTGTCAGGGTTGGTTTTTCCTGAGTCTTCTCTCCTTGGCTTGGAGAGGCCTCTCCTCCCCGAGTCCTCACAGGGTCTTCCCTCTGTACATGCCTGGGTCCTTTCTCCTCTCCTTATAAGGTACCAGTTTTATTGGATGAGGGCCCACCTGAATGACCTCATTTTACTTTAATGACCTCTTTAAAGACCCTGTCTCCAAATACAGTCACATTCAGAGCTACTAGGGGTTAGGACTTTAACTTATGAATTGGGGTGGGGGACAGAAATGATTCAGCTCATAACACAATGCTAGGGGATGAGACAGGAAGTATCTAGCCCCTTAGAACAAAGGCATCACCACTGGATACAGCATACTTAGTATTTGCCAGATGAGCATTTGAGAACCCAGGTACCTTCCCCCAACTCTGTATTCTGAAAAGACTCTGCAGCTTCCCCCAGATTTCTTCAGATAAACTCGTATGGATCTAGAAAACAAATGGAATAAAGACAGACTGGGGGAGGAGGCCCTGGTCCAGCTCACCCCTGAGATCAGGGCTCGGGGTGTCTCCCAAATGTCACACTCCCCATGGCTCTCCACCCATGGGGTCAATTCTGCAGGATCTGGATTAAACAGATAAACCAAGGGATGTTTCTTGCCAGTGACCAAGACATTTCACAAATGCAAGAAACCCAGAATCTGCTTATAGCTGGAGGGCATAGATGATTATAACAATCTATCTCAGATGTGGCCCAACAATAAATATAAAATTTCCCAAGTACCCTGTCCGAACTGCCCTCCTCCACTGCTGAAGATCCCCCCAGAGAGATTTCCTTATGTTTCATTTCATGGTTCTTAAATCTCCAACCTGGAGGGAAAGGAGCTGGCTTCTGCTGGTAGGCCTTGGGCTTTCTCAGTTATTAACAGAACAGGGTTGCTTCTTTGTCAGAGTGACTTGGTGCTGGGAACGGAACAGGGCCTTTGCTCTTTCCTGGGAGGCAGAGGGAAGGTGGGTGCCTGTCTCACCTGCTCCACAGTTTCAAGTGCCAATCAGAGGGCATGGGTCCAGCCTGGGTCTCCTGTGGCCTCTCACTCATCTCCCCTCTCATTCCCGCCCTTCCTCCTTCCATGAGTTGCTTTCCTGCCACACCTTCTTTACTACTAACCCTGTAGGGCAGCTTGTGGTGCTCAACCCTTCTTCAGTACCCCATTGGGGCCCTTGAGCTACTGACATTCCACAGCCAAGTGGAAAACAGGAAATCTGAATTTTCAGTCCCAGGTTGGTTTGAGAAAATCATTTGTCCTCTCTTAACCTCAGTTTCTTTGTCCATAAAATGAGCAAGTCAGGATTGGTAAGAAGTTCCTGGGTTGGCTATCTGGGAAACTGTTGTGTCTAAGTTCATATCTGAGCTGAGTGGGAGAGGCACCACCATCACATACCCTGCTTCCAGGAACTGCAGCACACCTTGTCATGCCTCAAACCCTATCCACACCTCAGCATCAGGAGGCTGGGGCTGACGCCCTGCGCGTCTCCCAAACTCAAGTTCCCTGTTGAAACAGTCACTCTGCAACCACCACCACCACCCCTTTCCTCCCTGTGCACCCTAGGACGTCCGATAGTCTGTCTCCTCTAGATAGTTCCCCCTGCTTCCCTGCCTTACCAGGAATGTGGCTTTCCCCCAACACTGTGCTTCTCCTGCTACCTCTCAACCAGCTCTCTTCCTTCTCTGCCATGTGTGTATCTCAGAGCCAAGGTGGAGTGGAAGGCTCCTCACTCCCTCTAAAATACCCAGACTGCCAAGCACCCCCCCATCTTGTCAGATCTGCTCCCCTGATGCTCATCCCAGTCAGCAATGCCACCTCCTCCTCTCCTCCGGGCTATCTTCTGCCAGCCTCCCGACCATGCCCCTTGCTCCAGGAAGACTGAAGCCCCTGGATCATAGCCTCCCCTTCTCCACCCCAGCTCTCAGAACCTCCACCTCTTAATTTCCCTTCACCACCTCATAGCTGAGGCCCTTCTCCTCAGCCTCCCACCCTGGGGTCACACCTGATGTTTTTTTTGTTTTTGTTTTTTTAATGTGGTAAAATAAACATATAAAACTTACCATTAACCATTTGTAAGTGGCATGGAGCACATTCACAACCACCATCACCACCCACCTCCAGAACTCTTTCATCTTGCGAAACTGATCATCTGTCCCCATTAAATAACTTCCCATTCCCTCCCCAGCCCCTGGCAAGCCACCATTCTACCTACTGTCTCTGTGAATTTGACTTTGCTAAGTACCTCATGTAAGTGGAATCATTCAGCAGTTGTCCTTTGTCTAGTTTATTTCTCTCAGCATAATGTCCTCAAGTTCCATGAATGTATCAGAATTTCCTTCCTCACACATGGATTTTAAGTTCACCAGAACTCTATCTCCAAAACCATGAATTGATAATCCTACTCTCTGACTACACCTATGGATCACTTGCTTAAATGCCCTTTGGAAAAAAGGGCCTCGGGTTCAATGGGCCTCTAATGCACTGTTCTCCACCATTTCCTCTTTGCCACCTTTCCCTCCTGTCTTCATTTTCTTCTTTGTCCCTTTTAGACTCCATGGCCCACCACAAACATCCTTCTTTTGCAGCTGGCCTCAGCCCCCTTGCCCTTTCTAACCTCTATCACATTCTCTTGACAACCCTAGAACCCTAAGTGACCCCCACCATTCACTTTCCCTGAACCTGCATCTAAAAGCAAGAATTACTGGAGCAAAATCACAAAGAGGAGTGCCACTGTAAGTTCAGGATCAGTACCCTTCAGCGGGACCCTGCCACTGCACTGTCATTATGCTGTGTTCCTCTCTTCCCTCCCCAAGAACTAGGTTCCTCAGTCCTCAACACTCTTACACCTCTCACTTCCACAACCTTGACTCATGCTTTACTATGAAGGAGAGCCACGAATTCGGAACTCCCTGATGTTCCCATGGCCAGTCTACAAAGGTGCCAGCATCTGTAGCCTCTCCTCCCCCTTTCCTCTGCTGCAATGGAAGCGGCATCCCTAGATCTGTGAAAGTCTAGCCCCACATGCTGGTCCAACTCAGATCTACAAGTCTCAGTGTAATGAATTGATGTCAGTAAAAATTTTTTTAACCAGGATGGGGTCAAGGATAGATAACCAGGCATAACTCCAAGTTTCCTACTCCCAGACATCTGCGTATCAAGGTCCTGATTAGACCCTTGTAACTGTAAATCAAGGATGTTTGTGGTTTCTGTGAATAAAAGCTCGCCGAGCACAAAGCAGAGGG